AGAAATAATTTTTTTTTTAATTAATTCCTGTAACTAAAGATGAAACCATTAGTATGAAATTTAGCACTAGAATTTAAATTGATGAGTGAAATTAAAAAAACTTTTAAAAATAGAAGTTATCCTTGGAGTTTTGTAAAAAATCTTTAGATTGAAGTTCATAAGAAATTTAGTTTGTCACTTACCTCCGCATATGTAAAATTATGCATGATTTATGTAATTCAAAACTATCGTTAAAATATGTATAACCAAATATATGATAAATTGCATATATTATAAATAAATTAAAGAGAAGAAACGTTACGTACTCTTGGCCTTTATATTTCCAAGCATCCCATCCTGGATGTACAATAACACTTGACATGTTGGTTTCATAGAAAACAACTCATCTAGAGTAGCCTCTATAAGCTCTTCCCAAGAATGCTTTACCACTTCCTTTAATCTCACAATTCTTGAACACGAATCCACTTGTGTCTTCTTCGCTTTCTCTCCCTTGCGCGGTTATGAATCCTGTTAACATTTGTTCTCTCTTCACACCATTCCATTTCTTGTCACTCTTTTAACGTATATAATGCAGTTCTGCATCCACACACAAACTTATCTTACTAATATTTAACATCTCTATACTTAGCCATTATATGAGAGTTATATGAAATTACTTGGTATATAGATTGGCCTCGTCCCCATATGAAATCGATAGCTCCTTCGATGTAACAGTTTTGGAAGTAGTGGCGGCCTAGTAAATCAGCTATTGTGTCTTGGACACTGATGAACCTACAGTTATAGAACCACACCTTGTCCGCGGTTAGTATAACTGATGGAGCTACGTTTATGTCTTCATACGGTACAATTGGTGTCCTCTTGGTGTAAGTATTCTGCAGAAGTAAAAATGTCAGTTTCACAATATATTTAATTAAATATAAATAAACCAATTTTTTTGTTTCACCACTTTAGATTTTTCCATAGGCTTTTGACATTTCTAAAATGTTCAAAGTATAATTATGTCATAAATATTTATACTTAAGAAAACATTATTCTGTTTGAGAAGTCAACATTTAAGATTAAAGAAGATGATTAGTAGATGTAAACATATGATTTGTAGTAACTACAATATATAAAACCTAACCATGAACGTAGTATTGATAGCGATGAAGTATTCGGCGTTTAATGTGAAAGGACCACTCGAATTGGCTAGTCCTGCATCATTATATTGAATTATCACTTTTGATGCATTGTTTCCTTGCATTATTATCTTTTTCTTCTCCCTCGGAATCACTACTTTTTCGCTGCACAAATATAAACACATATAATTTGGTAAACCACAAATAAAATAAATAAAGAAGTCAAATTCTTGACTGTTTTTCGACAATGGGCATCTTTTACTCCGGACTCAAATAAATAGCGCCGGAAAATCAAAACAATATGGAAAAAAGTTTGTGGGCCTAATATGCTTTCGTATTATTGCCATCACAAAGCCCAATAAATTGGAGAGAGTCGGTCACGAGGGTTGCACGAGATTTCCAAACCCTATAAAATCGAAATCGAAAGGGTAGGGATCTCTGATAGAAAAAGCAAGAAGCAGAAACTCGGCGTCTCTCTTAGTGAGAGAGCGAAGAGAAGCAAGCACCAAAGAAACTCGTCGTCTCTCTTCGTGAGTGGTGAGCTTTTCCGGTCTCTCTCTGTTCCTCTCAGGGCGACATCTTCCTCTTTCCCGACATTATGAATCCCGACGATGTGAAGCCCTCTCATGAGGTTAGTACTCGTTTATCTTTCTTCGTGCAAGCGGAGTAGATTAGTTTAGGAAAGTAGATTAGTTTAGGAAAGTAGATTAGTTTAGGGTTTAGGGTTTAGGGTTTAGGGTTTAGGGTTTAGGGTTTAGGGTTTAGGGTTTAGGGTTTAGGGTTTAGTTTAGGTTTCTTCAGATACACAATTTGGTTTATGCATAGGAAAGTAGATTAGTTTAGGTTTCTTCAGATACACAATTTGGTTTATTAACGGATTGTTCTACTAGTGTTTAATACCTGGCGATTTTTTCTATGGTGTGGTCATTTGTTCTCAGAGGGGGCAGCAAAATGAGAAGAGTCTGAAAGATGATAGCTTAGTGGAGAACCAGATCACTGAAGAGAGCAATCTTGTGGTCACTGAAGAGAGTCTCACTATTAAGACTATGAAGGGTAGGGTTTTTGAAGTCATGGTCCAACCGACTAACACGGTTAGTAACTCTCGAATCCTTTATGTTAGCATAACAAGTTTCTGAATGATTAAATTGGTGATTTGTTTGCTTTTTTAGATAATGTCTATTAAGAAGTTAATAGAGGATTCAGAAGGGAAGGACAATTATCCATGTGGGGAGCAATTGTTGATTCACAATGGGAACATTCTGAAAGATGATGAAGAGTTATGGCTGGAGAGGAAGGCCAATGAGCGAGGCGTTCTTGTTCTCGTCCTTAAGGTGTAGTGATTAAAAAAACTCTGTCATGGGCACTATGTTCATTTACATAAGTCTTCTCTGTTTGCTTCTGTTTGCTTGTTCATTGTAGTGATAAACATTTGTCATACATAAGTCTTCTCTGTTTGCTTCTGTTGTCATGGGCACTATGTTCATTTACATAAGTCTTTCTCTGTTTGCTTGTTCATTGTAGTGACAAACTTTTGTATTTGTTTGCAGGAGCAAACTGTTGAGAACCAGGAAAAGGAGCTCTCGTTGTCTACTCAAAACTCTGAATCTGAAAGCTCTGAATCTGAAAGCTCTGAGTCTGAAAGCTCTGAGTCTGATGGAGAGATTGATTACGAGGCATTTTGTACGGGACTACAATTTGTTGTGATGGACGAAAGCAAAATTGGACGTAGGGAAGGATACGAGTTGGTGGAGGAGATCACAAACCAGCCACTCCAGCTCCAAAATCCGTTCAACCTGTTCTGCAGGGCGTTTAACACTGGAAACGCAGCAGATGATGATATTGATACCGAAGTCACAATACATGTTGTTTTTCGAGCAGCTCGAGCTGCCGGCTGCGAATTCGGACGGTTTCTTGCACTTGGTGACGAGCCCCCAAGATCAGGTTTGATTCCATCACGAACCAGCTTTAACTTACTCGCCGAAACTTGGGTGACATTTGGGTACTTAGCTGGAAGATACGTGAAGGAGAACTATCGTTTAGAGAAAAACCTCTACATGCAGCAGTTTCATGATTTCTACAGTCTGAGAGGTTGGTGATGATTGATTGTTGACTCTGGAATTTGTAACTTTTAACAGCTGTTGCGTTTTTTCCGGTAAATGTTACATTTCTAAAAAATAGGTGGGTGATGATTGATTGTTGACTCTGGAATTTGTAACTTTTAACAGCTGTTACGTTTTTTCCGGTAAATGTTACATTTCTAAAAAATAAATAAGTTTACGGATTCATTAGATTTGTTAAAAATCTTATTGAGATTAGAAGATTTGCAGATTAGTCCATTGTTTGTATTAAAATAAAATAAAACGAATACAAGGCAGTGAAGGTATAATTTTCTTCTAAAAACGCTTAGGCGGGCTTAGGCCCAGTGGACTAGTCGGATCACAGTGTGGTCTGGACACTGGGTTATCAAAAAAAAAAAAAAACGCTTAGGCAGTGAAGGAGTTTCGGAAACTTGCGAACAAAAATTCCATTAGGCTTTGTGATGATGGGTCTCTTGACTTGGGAAAAGGGGATTTTCATACCCGTACTATCTACACCGTAGATTTTCATACCTGGATAAATTTGTTGGGTATTTTACAACCTAAACTTCAATAAAATTTGAATTTCATACATATACTTGATACAACGTGCAAAAATCGGAGTCAATCTAACGGGTGTTAGTCAACTCCGTTACGGTGCTGAGTCATCATACACGTGTACGCTGACGTGTATCAAAACGATGTCGTTTTCATACCCGTACTGTCTGCGCCGTGGATTTTCATACCTGGACAATTTTGTAGGGTATTTTACAACTTAAACTTCAATAAAATTTGAATCTTATACCCTATACTTGATACAACATGCAAAAATCGGAGTCAATCTAACGGGTGTTAGTCAACTCCGTTACGGTGCTGAGTCATCGTACACGTGTACGCTGACGTGTATCAAAACGACGTCGTTTTCATACCCGTACTGTCTGCGCCGTGGATTTTCATACCTAGACAATTTTGTAGGGTATTTTACAACTTAAACTTCAATAAAATTTGAATCTTATACCCTATACTTGATACAACGTGCAAAAATCGGAGTCAATCTAACGGGTGTTAGTCAAGTCCGTTACGGTGCTGAGTCATCGTACACGTGTACGCTGACGTGTATCAAAACAATGTCGTTTTGATATGTGTTCTCAAAGTTTTAATTTTTTTTGCAAAACTGGGGACTCGAACCCGCGAGCCGTAGTCACATGGGAAGCACCAAATACCAACTGATCCCACAACGTTCATCAAGTATTCCTCAATCTTTTTAACTTATAAACCCAAAGTGTCATGTGTTTGGAAATAATTAAAACGACGTCGTTTTAAATTGGGGGAAAATTATATCATAGTAAATTACATAATTTAAACATAACCAAGCAACTAATATTTTGATTTTCAGAAATGGAGTGACTTAGCCCATCAAGTTCGATCAGTCTTGAAAAACTGCCCCAAACTCATGCTTACCCAAGGAAGAAAAGTAAAATTCTTATAGAAAAAATAATAATACCTCAACTAAGATTATTTACATTTTTGGTCTGATTTAATTTCAGGTGTTGGAGATTCGTCCCAATTTAAAACGACGTCATTTTAATTATTTCCAAACACACAACGTTTAGGCGGGCTTAGGCCCAGTGGGCTAGTCGGATCACAGTGTGGTCTGGACACTGGGTTATCAAAAAAAAAAAAAAAACGCTTAGGCAGTGAAGGAGTTTAGGAAACTTGCGAACAAAAATTCCATTAGGCTTTGTGATGATGGGTCTCTTGACTTTCAGTGTGGTCTGGGCTCTGTGGTTTTTCAGTTCACGTTCTAAACACCATGCCGTTTTCATTATCTCAAAACAACACGTTATTCACGGTATCACAGAGCTTTTGTCCCCTACCAAAACCTCAAGTCCTCCGTCGCAAGCCGCCAGAAAGTAGCAGAGAATGTGGAAGCTGACGTCACGATTCCGGCCGCATATCAATTCGACCCCATGGTTGCAGATGTGTTAATCCAGTAAGGCTACTTAGAGCGGAAAGAGCTGTGTCGCCCAGGTACGGATGTTCTAGACTCAGGGTTTTAAGGGAAGTTAGAGATTGTAGTGCTGCTAACGACGGCTCTGCTTGTTCTTCTTGTGGAGATTGTTGTAGGATGAATCCTGAAAAAAATAGTCATAGAGTTATATCTTGATAGGGTTATTAATCACTCGTTAGATCTTAGAAGGCTCATGCATACCTCGGATACTGGTCATGCCCAAGTCAAGGGCTTTAATGCAAGGCATCATGGTGCTGATAAGCAAGATGGAAAGATCGTCGACAAATGTCTGAGACAGAGAGAATGTCTCGAGTTGCGGCACATGTCCTGCAAGATTCCCGACCCCAGCAGAAGTGATTTTTGTATCCGAGACATTAAGATTCCTCAGATTCTCACCAACACATGCTACAAACCCAACAGAATCATCCCCGAAAGCTGTGGAGCTCAGATCAAGATGTTCTAGGTTAATCATAGTTTCTAAGAAGCTGAAGTTTTGTAGGGAAGTCTTGGAAACGTCTAAGTAGGTTATAGAGCTTTTGTTGGTAAAGGACAAGGCCTCTGTTTCGGCACTGAAATTAGCTCCCGATAAAACTAGCTTTTTCAAGGAAGCTAATGAGCTCTGAGTTTTTGGTTCGGTTACAATGGTGCACATGTTCATGTGTAAGCATTCAAGGTGCGGTATGTTTGGAGTCTGTGTGACGCTTGTCCACGAGAGGTTTAGGAAGCTCAAGTTTGAAATTGAAGAATGCTGATAGCTCCTTGGTTGGTTACGTTGCTTCCCCAGATGTCAAGGTACTCTAGCTTTGTCAGTGCCTGAGGAGCAAAAAAGGAACTGGCGGTCAGAAAAACTTTAAAAAGATTGATCGTCTAGATGTTAAATGTTATTTACACATAGGCATGTTTTTAGTAAGTGAATTCGGACATACAAACATACTAAATTGCACATACACTTGAACTTCATTTTGTATGGATTTAATGGGTTTGATAACCAGGAAATGATGTTTGAATTTCAGAATCCTGAAGACTAAATAGTTTCTATGCACATAATACACCATACTCAACATAGTACCTAGAACTGTACAATTTTAGTAGAGCTCTAACAAATTTAACTAGATAGATGATAACCATTCTACACAGTTCAATAACATACATCAAGCAATTAAAACAGACTAAGTGACTACAAAATAAAGAAAGAGCACAGGTAAAGAACATGTACCTGGAGAGCAATCAAGTTTTGATCAGTTACAGGTAAGCCACCCAAATCCAAAAGAGACAACTTTTTAAGTGAAGCAAGAAGAGAAATTCCAACTTTAGTAACACCTGTCTGTGAAATCCACAACTTTTCCAGATATACAACAGATTGGAGGTGCTTTATACCAGCATCTGTAACCTTCCAACATCTTGAAAGATCCAACTCTTTCAAACTCGTTAATCCTGAAAATCCAATATCATATATTAAAAACTCGAATTTTTCTTCAACTTCCATTCCAAAATAGTAGGAGTATATCATTTAACATACCTGTGATAGGCCAGAGGGTGGAACTGTTGAGTCTCTGGCAATCTGATAGATTTAGAGAAATTAGATTAACGAAGCCTCCAATGTAAGCCATCCATTCTGCGTTAATAGAGCTTTCGCCTCGGAGATCTATATTCTCTACAGAATGTTTAAATCCTCTGCACAGAAAGAGTCTTCTTTAGTTGTGATAGAGATACCAAGTAAAGGTTCCTGGTTGCAAATGAGAGGAGTAACTAATGAGCTGGTTGCAAAATTATGAATCCTGATAGAGGTCACAATAGTTCAGTGTCGATGCAATCATTGCATTTCCTCAACAATGAACCAAGACCAACACGATTCTAGAGCTAAACAGTTCAGGAATAACTATTTCAACATGAATTCAGAAACAACATTTTCTAATCAAATCTAAAAACTAAGATCCCAAGCGATCACTCAATATCTCAAATCCAAGCATATATATTTATATATAGGTCACCATTTCGAGATCAGAAATCAGATTCATGCTTAGAAACGATCAGAACTACGTAACGAAGTAAAGAGATTTACTCGAGTAACGAAGGGAAAAGAAGCCGCCGGTGGAGGAGGCGACGGAGGAGAGCATCGGCAAGGTGAGGAGGCAGCCTCTCAAGACTCCGCCGCTGAAGTCGCCATCGTTTTATGTTTTTAAGGGGAAAACTTCTCTATTGGAACTAAATATTAATTAAGTAATTCTTGGTCTATGATTAGAAAAAGAGATATTGGTTGGTAGAAAAAAACCTAACCTATTTGTAATTCCTATAGTACCTCCGTTATTTTTATTTTTTAAATTAAAGCCTATACCTTCGTTTACAATCATATTCATGGCCTGGTCGCCACTTAATCATCGATCTTTGGACTGCGTCAAACTCTTCACCAAACCTCTCCGTATGTTGCTTCACGGACGATACACTGACTCCATAGAACACCAGAACAACCACAAAGTCGTTGTTGTTACGGTATGAGTACTCGAGAATCTGTTTTTCCAAGAATGACACATGAAGTGCATAGTTTTTGGAAAAACCCACCACCACCACCCTTAATTTGGAGAATTCTTCAGGTCCCATCTCCCTCTCGACAGCTTCGTCATGGCTGCTTTTACCGTCAACGAACGCAGAGATGATTCCTTGTCGGTTGAAAGCAGCGATGAGGTAGCTGATGAAAGAGGAGACTGATGAATCATTTTTGTTGAAACTGATATAAACGGTGTGGTTAACCTCATCGTTTCTGTTGTGGTTGTTGTTGTTGTTGTTGTCCATACAAAGAGTTTGAGCATCAAATGACAAGAGATACCTTTTGTGCTTTCGATATTTTAGATTGTTCTACCATTGATTCCTTTGTTGTGAAATGACCAAAAGTAGTTTTTTCCCTCTAAATATGAGTTAAAAGATCTTCTACTTCGGGGAGGTTGATTATATAGAAGCAAAACATATATTTAATATTAACATTTCTTACAAATTTACATTAACTAAAATTTTAAGCAACTAGAACTTTAAAGACTGATTTTATACACGTAGGTATATAAAAAAGAAATGTTACCGATCAACATGTAAATATTTTTTACACGTAGGTAGGGCTGGGCACAAAAAAAAAATGTTACAAGCCCATGTGGTGGTGGGCGAGTGGTTGGTGGGCCAGGGGTGTTTGGGTGAAAGTTCCTCCCCTCCGGTTTCGATTCCTCCTCTTGCTGTTATCAACATTATGTGGGAAGTCTGTCAGTTGGGCTTTGGCCCAATTGGTTTACCTGGTAGTCAGAAATGCAGGCGGCCTGACTACCCCTGGCACTTAGTCGGAAGGCATTCCAAACTCGGGATAGGCAGAGTGGTAGTCCGAAGGGCCTAGCCGTTAACACGGTGGACAAGTCCACTATGTAGCACCTCGGTGCGTTCCTACCGGGGCCGACCGGATAGCCGATAGGGTTTATCAAAAAAAAAAAAAAAAAAAAAAAATGTTACAAAAAAATGAAAAGTAATGATCGGATATTTATTTGATAGAAACTTTTTCCAAGTGGCATACGATGTTTCGTTTGAGTATATTAGTGTGATATACTGTTTTCAAACGTAAGAAACGTGCCTCAAGCCGCAAAAGGCTGACAATTACATCGTTTACAAATTTTAGAGCTGTTTAACCGAGATTTGTCCGTTTTATTAGTGACACCGGAGAAATATTCTAAAATGTAATTGATAAGCCCAAGATAATATAACTATACCAAAGTCGACCGTTTTGATGTTCTAAAATATTGATCAATGTCAAAAAACAAATCATCGATTGATCATATAGCTTTTAGGTAGAAGTTTAGTCATTACGTTTTTCACAAACCTTTTCTTTTTTTTTTGAAAAGAGAAACAAAACCAAAAACAAAACGAGACATAATTACGATTCTTTTCGATTTTTCGGATAAAGTTTTTCTACCGCTCCTAATTATTACTGTAGAGTGCGGACATAGGTTTATAATTTATTTTTATAGATAAAAAAAATCATAAAAGAGTAAACACAACGTATAGAATGTGAATATTTATAACACTAATCTATATATAATAGCAATCTAATAAATACCATTTCCACATCTGAACGGTTGCGTCTTTTTATCGCAATTTTTCGTTAATGTTTTAATTAAATAAAATATATATTTTACGGTTATGTTTTTTTTTTTTATAAATTGCATTCTGAATGTTTTCTACGGTTGCGTTTTTTATTGTAACTCTTCATAAACAGTTGAAACCGCTTATTCGAATCATTGCAATATTAAGTTTATTTTACGAACAATTGCAACCTTTGGTTTATATATTTAGTTTATTTCACGAACAATTGAAATTTTTGGTTTATTTTATAATTAGCAATAACATTTAGTTATCTATCGCCGCGTCTCTCGGTGTAACTTTTCATAAATTATTATTTTAATTCTTAATTTTTAATTAATAAAATGTATTTAAATGAGATTGTAACTATTTAATTGAATTGTTTTAACATTTAACGAATTATTGCAACTTTTGGTTTTGTGTTACGAACCATTGTTATCTTTAGAATATTTGATGAACTATTGCAATATTTGGTATAATTGACGAACCGTTGCAGTTTTTGGAATATTTGATATCTACGGTTGCGTTTCTCGGATAAGTTCGTCATATTTTTAAAATATATTTAAATACTAAAATATATTTAAATGAATTATTGTTACCGTTTAATTTAACACAATAGCATTTGCTTTATTTGACGTTGAACGTTTTGGCTTATTTATCAAACCATTGTAATATTTGGTTTATTAGTTTATGCTTTTTGCACTTGGGAATAGTTTTTTAGTTACAAATTATTGTTTTTCTAATATTAATATACTTAATAAATGCTTGTGATTTTCTTTATCATATTTTTGTAAAATATATATTGATTTGTTATTAAAAAAATTCAAAATTATTACAATTCATTATGATTTTTTCGTTTGATATTTTTTTAAAGGATTTTTGAAATATATTCCTCCGCAACATCGCGAGGGTCCTGAGTCCTAGTAAATATAATAGTGATCAACAAAAATATTCTACATCAATTTAAAAAATAAATAAAGTGAAAGTCCGTTCGTAAAGCGGATATTCATCTAGTAGGAATAAAAATAATTGTCATTCCTCAATTGCTTAGTTAATTCTATTTAATTAATGAGTTATTACTGTTTCCTTCTTATTATCATTCTTTATTTTCGCTGATTCTGTCATTTGAAAATATTATTACCAGAGTCCTCTTCCTACTAGAAAAACGTTTGGAAACTCACCAAATGATTTTTTTTCTTTGTCAAACAATATTTCATTGAATAAAACCAGACCTTACAACAATAATTCACATAAAACTTACAACAAATGATTTTGGAAGTGGTTCCAACAAACTAAAAACAAAACAAATTTGATAGATAGACAACAAATCAAAGGAAAACTGACATAAGTAGAATTCCTGGTAAGTCTTTTCACATTTGAAAAGCATTATAAACCTTCATATCTATCTCGATCAATAACATCACGTTGCATCGTTAGGCCCGTAGAAAATCATTTAAGTTTATAACCAATGAGCCATTTTCCGTACCGTACGTAGACCTTAAGAGTTACCAAAGCGATCTAATTAAAGAATTTGGTGAAGTAAATTTTGAAGATGTAGTTGCTATGTCTGATGGAGTTGTTGTATGACATAGGAAGTGATACATGATTGCTATAGTTTTTGTGTGAGTGTTGGTTTCTAAAAGTTTTGTGCAGACAAGATTAGAGCACGTTTTGGATGGACCAGAAAGGGAAAGGGACTAAATAAGAGTTTTGGAAGATTTAATGAAAGTGGAGTTTGATAAGAAAAATGAAAAGTGTCAAAGGAAATTTTACTTTTGCTTATAGAATTTGGAAACCTTCTCCTATCTTGATTAGGAAATCATGTTGGCTATATATGGGGGAGCTGTGCACGTTTTGGAGGATCGTGAGACTTAGACATAAATAAAAATCCGAGAGAGCTTTTTGAGATTGTGTTGCAACTTAATTTTGCGGTTTGGTGTTTGTGTGATCAAACTTATTTGTGTGTTGGTGTTGTCGACGTGTTGGAGTGCTTTGGTGTCATCGTTGGGATCGTTGGTATGACGGTTGTTCCAGATACTTGGAGAATTGAAGTCTAGGTTCAGAGGGAGTTTAGCCCAGGGTTATGTTATCCTGATTAAATCTAGGCTCATTGGAGTTTAGTTAAGGGTAGAGATTATCCTTAAGAGTTCACGTTATAGAACAGAACGGTGAATCAAGAGGGTTTTGTTTGGTTTACGCGTTTGCGAATATGTTGTATTTGCTTTCTTGTTCTGGTCAAATTAAAATCTGGACTTGGTCCCGAGGAATAGAAAAAACCGAACCTCGTTAACGAAGCTCTTGTCAGTTTTATTTCTTGTAAGTTTATCTTACCTCATCCACACTTACACATTTGTATACGAAATAACGAACTTAACCAATTCATGTTCTTTAACTTAAGTAATCTATATGATATCGAACTGTTGATTGGGTGATACGTAAGACTCAGTCTCCAAAAAATTAAATTTCAACACGCTTGCTTGTTCTTAATATTCATCCTAAATTCCAACAAAACAAACCAAAAATCCTATAGAGAAAATTTCCTCTGTTTTTTAATATCTAATGTTTTAAGAGAAAAATATATTTTAAATTAGATAATATTTTTAATTTTAGTGTAAAATTAATATTTTTATTATTAGTTTTGACGATTTATATTGTGTTATTGTTAGTTGAATAATATTTTGATAAAATAATAAATGATGTTTTAGTTTAGAAATAAATAAAAATTAAATAATTTCTTAATTTGTATACAAAATTTTTAAATATTAAAAATTTAAAACAGAGAAAATACTTGATTTATTCTTTTGACTTTCATTTTGTTTGAATTTGTTGACTTTTTTGCCCAAAATTGAAATCCAACATAAAATATATTGTATGCCGTCTTGAATCATTAATTCCATACTTATCATTATCATCTCACTGCATCAATTGAAAAAGTCAATACACAAAAGTAAAATTTAAAGCATCTTCGACCCATCTCTATTTTTTTTAATATGTAATTAATTAATCAATTAAAAATTATACATATAAAAGAAGGGTTTCACTCTCACCTTATTGGTCCACTTGGCAATAAAACTTACAAAAATAACTATTTTTAATTAAGCTATAAATAAATAACACATTTAATTAAATATATTTAACTCACACTTTATATAAAATTGAAGTCATAAAAACTAAGCATTAACTATATTTCTTCATTCAATTTTATTCAACACACAATAAACTAAATTGTAACTCCCATAATTTATTTTTTAAATTGTATCTCCCATCACTTCTCACCCTTCTCTCATTCACTCATTCTCTCATCCTCATCTACTATATCTCGAATCTTAATTTTTTTTTGTAAGTTTTCTTTTTGGGTGAGTGGTTGTTATTGTTGTATGGGTTTAAGAAAATCAAATTTAAAATCATTGTAAAAGCATAGTTCTAAATTTTATTTTTAGAGACTCTATGATATATATCTTACATTATTTTTTGATTTATTAAAGATTCATATCTATTGTCTATTTTAGATTATTATCTTATAAGTAGTCATTTTCTCATATTTTTCCACTATATCCATGTATCTATTTTTTATATTGCTATATGGGTTAATATCAAAGAAACCATCATTGTAAAAAGGGAGACTCACAAAAATGCCCCTTTTTCAATACCCCTTTTCAAAAATGCCCCCTTTGGCTGTCCATTTTTAAAAATACCCCTTTTTATGTACAAAATGACTAAATTACCCTTCTTTTAATAAAATATATCACAAATATATAAGGAAATATAACAAAATTAGGTCCACAAAATACAAAATATTTTTTGGCGGGAA